TTTTTTAAGTTAAGTTTTTCCATTTCTATTACTCTTACCATTAATTTCATCACATTTGGAGTTGCCCACATTAAAACAAGACGTTTTCATATTCCTCGGCAGGATGTTCCACCACTTGTATTCATATCCCAAAGAAGGTTCAGTTCCTCCCGGGCATCTTTGACATTCTGTGCCAAAAGAAATCTTCTCTGTTAAACACCAGTACCAGTAAACCAACAGTGTTGCATAATACATGAATATGTATCTATGTTAATGTGTTTCTATATACCTGTGGTGCCATCAGAGTAGGTGCCTTGAGGGCAGGGTAAACAGGTGGAAGAGTTGTGCATGTAAAAGCCTGGATTGCAGGGCGGACAGTCCTCTTTCTCTCCAGAAGGAGGCAGCGTCTCAGCACCAGTCACATTCTCCACACACACCTGAGGCTCCACCCACCTGTACAGCATCTGGGTCTAAAATAATACAGCAATATAAAAATGAACAAATTAGCCACACATAATTTACAACAAAACACATTCTGCATTATACTTTCCCTACCTTGCCGTCACTATCACAGGCCGTGTGGATTTGAAAATAGTCTTTCTCTGAACAAGGAGGTCTTTCTTTACACTGCGACCATCCCTCCTCTAGAACACACACACACACACACGTAGAGAAACATTAGAGTGACCATATGTCCTCTTTTTCCCTGCCAGGATTTCTTAATTGCCTAAAATGTCCAGATTTTGGCATTGTTTTCCTACTGACATGCTGACTACAGTCCTAGAGTCCAATTGGACGATTATGTACAACGCCTGCTCGCTATTGGTCAAACTACTTTTCAGTCATTACTTTCAGTAAGTATGAATACAATAGGAAAACAAAGCAAAACCCAGACATTTTAGACAATTTAGAAATACCGACCAGGAAAAAATGGATGTATGGTCATACTAGAGACATTATACACACTGAAAAAGTGTTTTAGTTACTGGATTGTATTGGATTCTTGCTAAAATGATAACAA